CCCGGCTGCCTCTAAGGCTGCGGCCGTCCGGCTCTGCCGCTCGTCCTCGGCCCCCTTCTTTGCCCCAGCTCCAGCTCTTCTTGACACCATCCCTTACGGGGGAAGCCTGGAGCTGACGTTGCCGTGAGATGGGCTGGTGACCAGCATTTGTCTCCACCGCAGCGTACCGACTAGGAAGCACCGTCGTCTTCGTTCAGCTACCGTGTGCATGTGTGTGTTGAGGGATCTGGATCGCTATGTAGGAGGGCTTCCCCCCTTTTTTTTGAGGTACTGGGGATCGAACCGAGGGCCTCACACATGCTAGGCAAGCACCTCTGCCACTGAGCTACGTGCTGTGAGAGGGATTTCTTGTTTTGGACGTTCAAACCTGTTGCAAGCTAGCATGCTGTTCGATATTTGACAACTGTGTCTAAACCTCTCTTAAGAGCTGTCGTCTAGTGTTGCACTTTTCTTTTACTCCACGTCCACTACAGTGCTACTTACAAATTTCTTGTCTTCATCAGTAGTGACCTCCATCCTACTAATCTAAAGGATATTAGATGTGTCAGTTTATTCAGCTCGCCAGCATTTGTTGGGTTGACCACTCCTTCCTTCTTGAAATAGTGGTGCCATGATTTTCTTCCTATTTCTCTGCCTATTTTTTTGTCTTCTATCCTAAGTTTTGAGCTCCTCAGGGTGGAGCCCTCTTTCCCTTAAACAGTCTCTCTACTGTTATCTGTGATGTTTTTTTTTTTCCGTATAGGTGACTTATGAGGACATCTCCCAGATTTATGGCTTGGTCCCAGATCTTTTATTTATTTATTTTTTTGGTGATGGGGGATTGAACCCAGGGTTGCTTAACCACTGAGCCACATCCCCAGCCCTTTTTGTGTGTTTTATTTTGAGACAGGGTCTCACTAAGTCCTTAGGGCCATGCTAAGTTGCTAAGGCTGGCCTTGAACTTGCAATTGTCTTGCCTCAGCCTACCCAGTTGCTGGGATTACAGGTGTAGGCCACCATTCCTGGCCAACACACACACACACAATCAATCTCTCTCTCTCTCTCTCTCTCTCTCTCTCTCTCTCTCTCTCTCTTTGTATCTAGCTGCTCTCTTGACACCCACTAGGATGTGAGCATCTCAGTTTTAACTTATTTAAAGTGGAGTGCTTCATTTTTTCATTATCTCCATGTTTGGCCCCATCCAGTCCATGCTCCACCCAGAAGCAGGTGTGACTCAAAAATTAAAATCATGCCAAAGCACTGCTCAGCCTAAAACCCTTCAGTGGCTTTCCATTGCACTTAGAGTAAATCCAGATTTCCTCTTCTGAGTCTGGCTGTGCTCACTGTTCTAGCCTCATCTCAAGCTGTTCTCTGCCTTGTTCAGTTGAACCAAGTCAGCCTGTTTCTCCATGCTCATTCTTGGCTGGGGTCCGTATACTTTGTTTGCACTGGAGAATATTCTTTTATGATAAAGTCCTTTTCATCTTTTATATTTTAGCTTAAATATCAGCTGGTCTCTGTATACGTGACTAAAATAGTTCCAACTCTTGTCATAGTACTTGTGTACTTTGGAATGTTTATCACATTTCCTACTTATCTACTTGTTTTGGCCTCTCTCAGCCTAGTGTTAAATTCTGCAAGGGCAGGGATTATATATATACTCTCTTCTGCTTAATAGAGTGCTTGGCATATAGTAGGTGTGGAATAAATGTTTACTAAGTGAACCTGTGATCTGATGATTGATCATCTCTGCTTCAATGCAGTCTGCTAAGAAAATTCAGAGAACTGTGCCTGGTGGATTTAGGTTTCCACATCAAGCAGGGTCCTTGGGGATACTTGATAAGAATATTTCCTGGCTTGTTCACCTTTCCTCCTGCTTCATGACTGCTCTGCCAGACCCTCTCTGTCCTGGAGGGCCTGATTTCCTGACCTCTGGTTTCCTCGGAGTGCTGCTTTTGTTTTCCATACAATTATCAGATTTTTTTTCCTAACATGTTATGATGTTATATTCTCTTATCTACTTATGTATTTATTGTTGCTGAGTGTCCACTGTGTGACAAGAACCAAAACTCTGCAAAAATAATGGTGAGCAAAGCAAACAATCTGTGCTTTGGTAGGCCTTGTACTTTGACAGATGGCTGGGACCTAAGGCAGTAGCAACACAGAGTCATAAATATCAGACACTTGGTGCATACTTGGGTCAAGCACTGTTGTTGTTTCACACAGATAAATTCACATAATCCTTACAAAAACTACTCATGCAGGCACTAGAGAGAGAAGTTGTGTGCCCAAAGTCACAGGTGATAGTGGACAGAGCACATTCACTTCCCACTGCAACCTAGGTAGTCTGCAAAGTGATGCCAGGTTTGAAAGAAGGGTTTAGGGTTATGGAAAGGGTGTGATGGAGACCTAATTGTGTTTGGGTTAAAGGAGTTGCTTCCTCATGGTGAGCTGAAGAATGTTCCATGCAGAAGGACACAGTGTTTGAAAGTTGAGGTGGGAAGATGGTTGGCTCAGTGGAGGTCCTGAAAGTGGGCCCATGTGCTGTTGTAGGCCAGCAGGGAAGAACCAGGGCCTGGAGAGGGAAATGGCAAGCATGAGCCTGCCTTAGGGGCTCTGGTTAGGATTGGGGGCTTTTTTGTAAGAGTAGCACAAAGCCATTAGGGTTGTATGGTGGAGTGATGAGAGTAAATGCAGGGATGTGAGAGGTGGGAGGAGTCCTGTCAGTGCAGAGGTTGAAGCTGGGCCTGGGCAACAGCTGATTGGAGGGCAGCCTGGATTTGGCAGGGACGTGGGCAGGGGAAGAAAGCTGCTGAGACTCTGAGTTTCTGGGTGGTGAGTTGGGTGTAGCCTAGAATTCAATGTGGGCATGTTTATTGTGAATCTGGTTAAAACATCTGAATGATTGAAGAAAGCAATTGGATATAAGGGTTTAGGTGAGAAATCCAACCTGGAGTCACGAGAAGATTGTTGGAGTGTGATATCCCTGTAGCAAGTGAGCTGGCTGGGCTGGGGGGTCTTCAAAGGGAAGGGCCCTAGCTTGGGCCCCCTGTACATCCTTTCTTCAGGGCAGGGCACTCTGCAGCTCTCACACTTCTGTAGACTGGTGCTCCTGCACCCCACCCCCCAAATTTATTTTATCCTAGGAATTAGCTCCCCTTGGTGACGCCCTTGCAGATCATTCCCCTTCCTTGTGCAGCACAGTGCCCAGCATCTTAGCTCTCTTGCCAGCGCAGCCTACACTTTGGCCATGTTTGTGTGATGTGCATTTTTCTGAACAGTTGTATCCTGTCTCTGCTGACTGCCTTTTCATGGGCAGGGGATTGCTCTTTCTGAAGTCCTATGCTTTCACCTGCCTGGTGAGTTTCTATCCGTTTTTTCAGGCTTAGCTCTGATATTACCACTTCTTTAGTTCATCAGATATTTACTTGGCACCAGCATTGGGCACTAAATGGAAGGCTGAAATTACCTGATGCTGTCCACAGTTCACTAAGGAAGAAGAGACTTGAAAGTAGTGCAAAAAGATAACACTGACAGGGCCAGCCATGGTGACTCCTACCTGCACTCCCATCTGCTCAGGAGCTGAGGCAGGAGGATTGCAAGTTCAAGGCCAGCCTGGGCAACTTAGTGATTGTCTCAAAATAAAAAATAAAATGGGCTCAGTGGTAGAATGCATCTGGGTTCAATCCCCAGTACCACACACCAACAAATCACTGATGATGGGTGGCAAGAGGCCCCTGCAGGGGAGTTTACACTGGGACATTTAGAGCCAGGCATTCCTGGCAGAAGAAAAGCAAAATCAGAAGGCAGGAATAGGAAGGGGCTTTGAGTGTTGGTGGGAGCAGCGTTGTAGAGGAGCCTGCTTCGTGGGGAAGATCCTGAGTTAAATGTGGAGATGAAATGTGGGGGACACTAAGGTGCAGCTCAGTGGTAGAGTCTGGCATGTGTGAGGCCCTGG